CACCGGGCACGGGTCCGGCTGGAAACTGCCGCCGCTTCCACCGGACTCCCGGCCAAAGTGTTTGCAGCGCTACAAGTCTATAAGCACATCCAGTACAGACGCTCCCGGAACTGCGCTCCTTAAAGAGAGGGACTGCGCTCTGCACCCAAACGTACCACAGCTTGCTAAATTTGATCAAATGATTATAAGAAAGCTAATATGAAAATGCATATACACACACATACACGCCCGTGGTTAAACAGATCTCCAGTTACCATAGAGTCCAAACTATTTTATTTCAGAGGAATAACTCTTTGAATGCATTTCAGAGATTGCAAGAACAACATGTGATAGAATAAAAAGAAAAAAAACACAACTTTTTTTTTTTTCAAGAGTGTGCGTAAATACTTAAATTTACATGTATGCATATACATGTATATAGAATAGATGTACGCGATTTTAAACATTTTCAGCGTAAGGCAGAGCTTTTAGCAAGACACCTTACCTCGTACTAACAATTCTTAAGCAGACTTGATTAGAGTTCTGCCCCAAAACAGATATCGCAAATAGTGGCCGTGGTGTTTAATTACATACCCTGATCCTTTACATTTGAAAATACTGCTTTTAAAGACAATATGATGGGGGTGGGGGGGTGGGGGGGGAGGGAGGGAAGAAGCAGAGGTTGCTGAGGTTAAAAGACTTCTGTGTTAAAATACACCAGTTTACTTACTAATGTTGGCCATTTGTTTAGTTACAGGAAAGGTAATGTTTAATATCAGAATTTAGCCTATTTTTTTTTTTTTATTTCTGTGTGTTCATAGTAAACATTTTTGTAAGTGACAAACACGGGCATATGACCACAGTATCACAATCAAGAAATTTTAAGACGACATTAACAATCACTCAAATTTATGCGGCATCTGCGCAACACAGGTTACATATTTGCAAGGTTTACCTATAAGTACAATAGGTATTAACATTTCACTACATTTAGAAAAAAAATAAAGGTGACCTGTTAGTGACCACATACATCAAAATATACACAACACAAACTGAAGGCAATCAGTAATTTTGTCCCCTTCTGATTCATTTGAACGGGCAGTGCTGCAAACTGAAATAATGTTGCTGTTTTTTTTTTTTTTTAAATTACTCCGTACACTGAGTGCATTTTTTAAAACCCAATCTTTGGTCTAAAAGTAAACAAACAAGCAAACGAACAAACAAAAAAAGGAAACCGAAAAAGCAGTTCAGTAAAGAAAAGGATAAAAAAATAAATGGCCAAAACGTAGTTCTTGGGCATCTTTCAGTATTAATTCTGCTTAAATACGAATTACGTTTTAAGTTTTTTTCTAGTTTTCATAAATTTAGTGGTGGTTTGTTTTTTGTGGTGGGTTTGTTTTTTTCCTTTCAAGGTCTGCACCCACCGACATATCCATGATAACTTATAATACTGCAAACATGGAGAATCTGGCGGCTTTTAGTGATAGACTTATCGTATCTGAATAAAAAATCGCAAAAGCAGTCACTATTTAGATACACATTCTAATATAATTTCGTCTTCCAAACTTCGTAGTCTACAATGTAATCTCCCCACATTGCACCTCGCTGACACTCCTCACCTTGGTGGAATAATAAACAACCCTAAAGACTGAACAAACGTACAGAAAATGGGGGACTTAATAAAAAATACCTGGACTTTTTTGTTTTGCTTTTTTTTTTTCTCTCTCTCTCTCTCTCTTTTAATTATCATTTACAACGCAAATGTGTGTAAAATGTTCACTTACAGTCTGATCCCATGGATGTTAATGTATTAAAGGGTTTGAAGAAGACCCCTGATTTTGATGTGTGAAATAATCAGAAAGTCCTCCGGAGAGTCCCGTTGTAAAACTCGGCAAAGAAGGTCTTAAGGACTCACAGGGGAGCGTGGAGGGCGCCTGCGGCGACGTGGAGGAGGAGGCTGCCCTGGCCGTCATTGAAGTGCTGCTTTGAGAAGTCATTGAAGGGTGAGGAACATGGGGGAAAAAGTAACTGGTCTGTCCTGCCAGGAGGTTCACGGAGCAGGGGTTTAGGGAGTAGGTGCCGGAGCAGGGGACGGACAAGCCGCAGGGCACCGAGGCAGCCAGGGCCGCCGCTGTGAGGTGATGGGTGGCGTAAGGTATCTCTCCGTTGACTAGTCTATCGACACTTAACCCATTCGACGTGGAAAAGGAGTGGTTGTTCCCCAAGGAGTTCTGAGTCAACACCGAGCTGTAGGGCATGGGGTGGCTGGGGTAGGCGGAGGTGGTCCCGTTGTAACTCAAAGTGCTGCTGGCCCGGGGGTGGTGCAGGGAGAGGAAGGGGGACATGGGCCAGTACAAGGATCCCGCCCTGTCCATGAACGTCAGTCCGGTGGAGGTGAGCCGGGCACCCCGCTTGAAGGCCAGCTTGGCCCGCGAAGTGGTGGAGCGCCGGCGGAGCTTGCCGGTGGTGCCCCCGATGAAGACGTCGTCGCTGGAGGGGTCCAGCATCCAGTAGTTCCCTTTGCCCGGGTCGTCGTAGTGGCGGGGCACCTTGACGAAGCACTTATTGAGGGAGAGGTTGTGGCGGATGGAGTTCTGCCAGCCCTGCTTGTTTTCCCGGTAATAGGGGAAGTTCTTCATGATGAACTCGTAGATGCCGTTGAGCGTCAGGCGCTTCTCGGGGGTCCGCCGGGT